CTCAATTGTAAAGCATGTATAAAGGAAATATTTAGAATAAAGCCAATATATAAACTTCCTTTCCGTATAGACGTATTTACGTCAAATTCTCCGGAACCGTGGTTCCACTGACAACTTTTTAAATGCCTTTAGAAATTAATTTCTACTGGTTCTCTTATCTCTCGTTTACCGTTATTGTGTCCCAAACTCCGTTATATATTTATTTCACCTTTGTCTGGTCTCTTTGCATAATCTAAAATATTTTTGAATCGCCATTAGGTAATTAATTTCTGAATTTGGAGTTGGTCGTTTCTGAAGTGAGGCAATTTACGACGTATTTAGTCGTCTAATTTCACGTTTACGACGAAATTATTCTGCTTATTAATTGTGTCTTTTGTCACCACATCATGGCTCGTCTTCGGGTTGCAGATAGAGGAGACGATCTCCAATTATGGAGCGTAGCTGACAGTTTATTAAATAAGCAGTCACGTACAACCGACAAGGGGTGGTACTCTGGTATGGGAGTTAGGTGGGGTGCTCACAAAGTATCGTAAAAAACAGCTTGTTACTACCAAGGTTATTCGAAAAAAATACAATATTGGAATGTTTTCGTTGTGTGATTGGTAACACTGCTGAGGCCTGGTCATGCTGTACCCCAAGGCCAGACGGTGACTTGCTGGGAGTGTGGTTCAGTTTTATCCCTTTGTGCGGGTTTGCACCAGGGACAAGCAACTTAATTTTACCACTGAGCCAGAATTTTTGCATTTTGGAGATACTGTGGAAAATATATGTACGTCCATACATTATGTTACGTTATGTTGATATCATCAATCTAAATCTTATATACCGTGATAGTTTACCGATTGAATAAAATACCTGCAGATAACGTAAAATATAAATATGGTTTTAAGGCGAGAGCTGAACTCGTACAGTGGCAGGATTTATGAACATAGTAGTAACCATAGGGGTTCCATAAAAGGTTTCTTGACTGACGTATTAACTCAAGACCGGGCAGCTTGAAGTAAATTTGTCATTTTGTTACATTACGTTGGTCCATAATTTGTCACTCATACATTTGTGTGGTTAATTGCTGTCTTCGTTGCACTGTCGGTTATTTGAGCATCTATAATTTGAAATTATTTTATTGGAACAGAAAATAGTTCTCCATCACTGTGTATCCGCATAACACAACCTCTTCCAGTTAAAGAAAGAAAGGTGTGTGTTCGTATTAGGACACGGATGATTTATCTATTGGTTTTGAACTCTGAAGCGACATGTTGCTATGCTGTATTTCCCTTCAGATTGAACTTGGACAGTCAAACCTGTACATACATCTACTCAGAATTCACTTCTGCGTCGCTTTAATTAGGATATTGTTCTGTTTCGAGCGAGGTCTGACTCTCAGTATATTTTCTTGTGGAAAATTAAACATGTTTGCCTAAGTACATTCATGGCATAGATATATTCCTGACAGTTCACGGAATTACTTCTCTGTTTCTGTAATTAAAATTCTAGTTTCCTTTGTGATAAGTTAAATTGAATACTGAAGACTCCTAATTGAATGCAACGTATTACTGAAATGTCGTATTTACTTTAGAAATTTATTAGCTAGCTGTGCGTCTATCTTTCCATTTGTCTATGGGCATTATGCAAGAAACTTGTCCGAGTTACATGTAATCGTATATTAATGCCATGCAGTTGAATATTGTGCCAGTTTTATGTTGGATATTTCCACCGTCTGATATAACACACCTTTTCGGGATTTGGCTGTACTCCAGTTTTCGAGTGATTGGTTGTTATTACAGGTAATGAAAATTTGTTTATCTCCTTTTGTTTTAAGACTAGCGTAGTATTATCCAGCAAAGTTGACGGGAATTATTATCTTTGCAAATCGCATTGAAAGTACAAAATTAGTAATTTTTAAAATTAAACGTGAAAACATCTCCACGGCGACTGAAGCCAGACTCCCACCAAACGCAGACTCCGCCACATCCCACCATAAACTCATGTAAATTTCTTGCTACCAGAGTCGCCACCGTCAAAACCTACATTTTTTTTCCGCGTCGCACGAACGGTGCACTAGTACAGTTATGCATGACTGACGCTGGCCATAAAATCACTATATTAGTAATGACGGTTGGGATCGAAGTCGGGATCTTCTGAATAGCAGATGAATACACTAATCACCATATCACCCAACCGTCGCTAATAACACTGGTGAGAACAACAAATAAGAATGCATCAGTATATTGAGAAGAAGTCACCTGAAGACGGTTGTAGAGCCAACTCCCTAAACGTCGTGCATATTAAATATATCTTAGACGATGTACAGTAGCCAACATAATATACGTTAATACAAACGCAATTAAGATATAAAATAATATACGTGTAATACGAGGCGCGTCCACAAAGTAAGTTTCCCACTCGTCCCACAGCTAGCAAACCTTATATTGCGCGAAGCGACTGTGCGTACGTGATAGAGCAATGACGTAGCATGGCGCATGCACTAACGGC